CAGATATTCTTCTGGGCTAAATGTCTCCCAACTATTTTAACGTTCTTTGCCTCATAGAACCTTTTTTCATAGCCATTTATTGAGCACATTCATTCCATGCAAAGAACTAGACAGAGTGCTGTCACAGAAGAAGAGATATTCATGGAATCTATGCACAAGGAACTCGCAGTCTAAACTGGTACTAAAATGAAAACCTAAAGAAATAGATTGTCAAGTAGAACATATTTAAGGAGCTTAAGAGCACTACAGGTAAAGCACCACAGGATTTAAAGGAGGACAGATGTACTTTTGTTGGTAGAGATCACGAAAGGCTTTCAGTCTTGGCCCTAACAAAGAAGCAGATTGTCGAAAACTCAAGAAAATTAACCCTAGACAAAATTAATACGTAAGTAAATCAGTATCTTTCTTGTATATGACCACTAGAAGAAATAATGTTTAAGAGAACACAGTATTTATTATGGTAACAAAAGATAAAGTTCTTAAATGTATACATTTTTCCTATGTTAATTAAGAACTCTGTGGAGAATATGTAAATGCTAACTGATTTGAACAGAATCATACAGCTGTACATATTATACAATTATAATATTGTTGGACAGAAAAAAAGATAATGATGTCAATTTTCTGTAAGCTAATTTGTGAGAGGTTATTTTTTTACATTTTTAAAAATTTTAATTCCAGTATAGCTATTTTAGGTGTACAATCTAGTGATTCAGCAGTTGCATATATTAGTCAGTGATCATGAACATAAGTATACTCTCTTTTTAAATCATTTTTATTTTTAAAGATTTTATTTTTATGTGATCTCCATGTACAGTGTGGGGTTTGAACTGAAACCCTGAGATGAACAGTCACATGTTCTACTGACTAAGCTAGCCAGGTGTTCCAAGATAACTGTACTCTTAATCTCCTTCACCTATTTCGCCCACTCCCCCCCCACCTCCCCTCTGTTAACCATTTGTCTGATCTTTATACTTAAGGGTCTATTTTTGTTTTTTTTTCCCCTTTGTTTCCTTAAATTCCATATATGTGTGAGATCATAATGACATTTGTCTTCTCTAACTTACTTTGCTTAGCATTATACCTTCTAGATCCATCCATGTTGTTGCAAATGGCAAAGTTTCATTCTTTTTGATGGCTGCATAATATGACATGGTATATACATACCACATCTTTATCCATGCATCTGTCCTGTGGACACTTGGGCTGCTTCCATATCTTGACTATTGTATGTAAATAGTGCTGCAGTAAACATAGGGGTACCTATATTCTTTTATTTATTTATGTTTTTTTTTTTAAAGATTTTATTTATTTATTTGACAGAGATCACAAGTAGGCAGAGAGGCAGGCAGAGAGAGAGAGAGAGAGCGAGAGGAGGAAGCAGGCTCCCTGCCGAGCAGAGAGCCCAATGTGGGGCTTGATCCCAGGACCCTGGGATCATGACCTGAGCCGAAGGCAGAGGCTTTAACCCACTGAGCCACCCAGGCGCCCCTTATTTATTTATGTTTAAATATTTTATTTATCTGTGAGAGAGAAATAGAAAGTGTACAAGCAGGGGGAGTGGCAGACCCAGAGAGAAGCAGGCTCCGGGATCATGACCTGAGCCAAAGGCAGATGCTTAACTGACTGAGCCACCCAGGCATCCCATCCCGCCTATATCCTTTTAAATTTAATGTTTTCATATTCTTTGGGTAAATACCCAGTAGTGCATTTACTAGGTTATAGGGTAGTTCTATATTTATTTTATTTTTATAAAGACTTTTTTTTATTTGTCAGAGCGCATGCATGCACAAGCAGGGGGAACAGCAGGCAGAGGAGGAGACACTGAACAGGGAGCCTGATGTGAGGCTTGATTCCAGGACCCTGGGATCATGACCTGCACCAAAGGCAGAAGCTTAATGGCTGAGCCAACCCAGGTGTCCCAATTTTTAAAGATTTTATTTTTAAGTTATCTCCACACCCAGTGTGGGGCTCAAACACACAATCCCAATATTAGGAGTTGCATGTTCTACCGATTAAGCCAGCCAGGTACCCCTAGTTTGCTTTTTTATTTTAAAAATTTTCAAGTTTTGGGGGGGCTGTAATATATATATAACATATTTATCATTTGAACTATTTGTAGTTGTGGAATTCAGTTGCATTAGTCACATTCATTCTCAGTTTTTATGAATTTGCCTATTCTAGGTACCTCATAGAAGTGGAATCAGACAGTATTTGTTGTTCTGTGTGTGCTTTATTTCACTTGGCATAGTATTTAAGGACCATCCATGTTATAGCTTATATCAAAATTTCTTTCCTGGGGTGCCTGGGTGGCTCAGTCAGTTAAGTGGTGACTCCTTTTTTTTTTTTTTAAAGATTTATTTATTTGAGAGAGAGAGAGTGTGTGCATGCATAGAAAGGGGGAGGAGCAGAGGAAGAGAGAAACCCAAGCAGATTAATGCACGGAGCATGGAGTCCCATGCGGGGCTTGATTTCACGCCACCTGTGCCAGAACCAAGAGACACTCAACTGACTGAGCCACCCAGGCACCCCACATCCAACTCTTGATTTTGGCTCCAGTCACAATCTAAGGGTCATGGGATTGAGCCATGTGTCTGGATCCTTGCTCAGTGGGGAGTCTGCTTGAGAATTCTCTCTCCCTCTCTGTTTCCCCTCCCTCTGCTCACACGCATTCTCTCTCTCAAATCTTTAAAAAAAATTCCATTCCTTTTTATGGCTGAGTATTTTTTTTATTGTGTATATATGTCACATTTCATTCATAAATCTAATCATCTTCTGATGGATGGACAGTTCTACCTTTTTGCTATTGTGAACAATGTTGCCATGGACATTGGTGCATAGATGACTGAGTTCCTGCTTTCTGGCTGAGAGTGGAATTGCTTGAGTTATATAGAATTCTGTGTTGAACTTTTTGAGGAATTGCCATATTTTAATGTGTTTAAACACATTTAACATGTTTACTTGTTAATGTGTTTTTACACATTAATTTGTTTAATGTGTTTTCAAACTTTATATAAATGACATCATTTGTACATATACTAATTTGTTTTTTACTGATCTTTTAGATTTATCATTGTTAATATGTAGCTGTAATTTGTTGTAGTTTCTGTATAGTATTTTATTGTATACATTTTGTAATTTAATCATGTATCCCTTAATGGTGGGCTCTTAGGTTGAACTCCGCACCTCTGTAAAAACAGCTCTATAGTGAATATTACAGAAATCTTCTTTTGCATATGTGTAAGTCATTAGGGTATATACCCAGTAGTAGAATTGGAGCATACAATATGTTTTTACAACTCTACTAACTGTTGCAAAATTATTCTCACACAAAGAGAATGTGGGAGTTTCTGTTTTCCTTATTCTTTGAATGCTTAGGTTATCTGATGGGTGTGAAATGGTATTTAGTTGTTTCATCTTGCATTTCCTTGGCACCTAGTGAGGTTTGCCGTCTTTGCCTTTGTTAAGTGACTTGTCAATTTCATTATGTGTAAATATCCTTTTCATAACATCTACCAGTTCTTTTTGGGGTCATTTTATCTCTCTAATTAAATTTTAGGATTTTTTTTTTATATGCTGAGATACTAATCCTTTGTCTTATTCTGAAAACCTCCCAATTTGTGTTTTTATGGTATCTTTTTAATGTAATACTGTGCAGTCCAGTTTGGCAGTCACTAATATAAATTAGATTTAATTTCAGTTTAATTAAATTATGCATTCATTTCTTCATTAGCCACATGTGCCTAGTAGCTACTCTACTGGACATTGCTGATATAGGACATTTCTATCATTAGAAATTTCTGTTGCAGGGCGCCTGGGTGGCTCAGTGGGTTAAGGCCTCTGCCTTTGGCTCAGGTCATGATCTCAGGGTCCTGGGATCGAGCCCTGCATCGGGCTCTCTGCTCAGGGGGGAGCCTGCTTCCTCCTCTCTCTCTGCCTGCCTCTCTGCCTACTTGTGATCTCTGTCTGTCAAATAAATAAATAAAATCTTAAAAAAAAAAAAAATTCCTGTTGCCTAGTTCCTGATAGAAAGTTTTAAACTGTAATGGGTTTATCATAATATTTCATTACAGATTGTGGTTTTTATATCTTTTATGAGAAATCTTTAAGCACCATTTAGGAGGTATTCTCTTAGATTTCTTTTAAATATTTTGCTTCTCTTAGTAGGTCTTAGACGCCATCTAAAATTTAATTTTATGATGTGAGGTCAGGATCTGCCCTTTCTATATAGATTTTTGTTCTAGCATTATTTTTTTTTAAAGAATTTATTTATTTGACAGAGATCACAAGTAGGCAGAGAGGCAGGCAGAAAGAGAGAGGGGAAGCAGTGTCCCTCCTGAGTGGAGAGCCCAATGCAGGGCTCGATCCCAGGACCCTGAGATCATGACCTGAGCCAAAGGCAGAGGCTCTAACACACTGAGCCACCCCGCATTATTATTTTGATAGTTAGTCTACTCTGCCAGGAGATGTAATGCTGCCTCTGTCATTTGCCAGGTTCTTGGTGTGTCCTTCTTTCCTCATGGGCTTTTTCCCCTGGTATTTCAATTTTTCTTTTTCCTTTTCTTCATCTTTTTTTTTTTTCCATATCCTTTTTCTTAACCCTTTCTTCTTTCATTTTGAATTTGGGGTCAAGTTTTGACAAGTTCCCTTAAAAAACAAACTTATTGGGAATTTGTTTATAATTGCATGGAATTTACCAAATGATTGGTGAGAATTGGTGTTTTTGTACTATTGAGTCTAATAATCATTTTATTGTAATTTTATGCCCCTCAGTAATATTTAGTAATTTCCTCCTTAATGGCGAAACACATCTTCTAGTAGGATTTTTATTGTCTGTTCAGGTTAAAATTTGCATGAATGAGACTGATGTGTAAATGAGTTGCATTGGTGTTATGCTAGCCCCATTAAGTGAGTTGGGCAGCTTACTTTGTGTCTTCTTTCTGTTTTCCAAAATAACTGATAATTTGGGGTTTCTAGAAAATTTTAAATGTATTTTTCAGCTTGCAAGCAGTACTTTGAAAAGTATCCAGGAGATCATGAACTCCTTTGGGAGGTTGAAGGTGTTGGACACTGGTACCAGCGGATACCAGTCACCAGAGCATTACAGAGAGAAACACTTAAAATTACAGGTAAGAATTACAGGTTTCAAGTTGAAACACATGTCAGGGTTAAAGAGCAGAGCCTTTTAATGTTTGTGGCTCTTAGTCTGGAGTTATGGTATATTGTAATGTGACCTCTCTAGTAACAGATCCTCTTTTCTAAAGTTTGAATTTTTGTTATGTATTAACATTTGAGTCACTAATAATAAGAGGATTTAGAATTATAATAGCCCAGCAGAGTCTAACATTCTAGGAATTGGTGGGTAAGAAGGAAACACAGATACTAAAGCAGCATAGAATAGGCATCAAGGAATCAGAGAGTAGTCCCTGGTCTTTCCTCAAAGTCACGAAATACAGATAACTAATACTTTTATAATTGCAAGTTTTCATTATAAGATATTGGTGAAGGAGATATTCCACACCTAGGTTTTCAACACCTTTCTGTTCAGGATGCTATTCAGGGCTTTTGTGAAAAATCAGTACAAACCATGTTGTAGTTAAAACCAAATACTGATTGGGTTACAATTTTTAAAATTCTTCTATACACAGCAGTTTCTCAAAATGAAGCTAAAAGACCTATGTCTGGAGAATATGGTCTTGCATCTGTTCCAGAATATGAAGCAGAAACTGAAGACAATCAGTCTAGTGAGATGCAGCTAACTGTAGGTACACTGTGTGTTTATTGTAGGAAATAATAATTTTTGTTTCTTTAAACTAGATTCAGCTAATATTTAATTTTGTAAATGTTAGTGTTCATCAAGTTATGTAATTTTAATTTTTTACTGTGTTAGTTTTCTTGGAATCTCCTGTTAATGGCTTACTAAGGACTTAGTTTTCTTTGAAAAATAATTTGGAATCACACAAAATAATATAGAAGAAATAGAAGAAAATAAAAATCTCTAATCCCACTACCTCAGATACAGCAGCTGTTTAACATTTTTCTATTTGTATTTAATATATATTATAGAACATTGTCTGTATATATTTTTGTTTCCTGTTATGCTGCTTCTGTTTTTCCTCCACTAACATAATATTATAAGCATTTCCATGGCCTTGTTTCAAAACATGATTATTAAATAGCAGCATACTATTCTATGTAAATACCATTGTTTAGTTCTATAATATATTACTTAAGTTTTTTGCGTAAGTGGCTCAGCAGTGAACACATTCATATATGCATCTTTTTGCCTATGTAATTCTTTCCTTGCACTCATAAATTTCTAGAAGTGAAATTAGTAGTAGGTCAAAAGTTATGAAGTTACTGTGGAAAGTTTGAGTCTCTATGCTAGGTCTTTGTAGAATGTAATACATTTTGAAAGTACTAGGCAAATCTTCCAGGGACAAGTGCTTTGGGGAAATATTTGTGCCTCTTATTTCTGTCTTGATTAGTGTGAGTGTTGACTGAACTTTTTGGAAACGTTTTTAAGGATAATGTAAATCATACAATCACATGTAAGGAGTTAGATTTTTTGTTATTTTTTTTCTACATTTGGAAATTCAAGCTCAATGATAACCCCAGGTTTGATTGTATTGAGGTCCAAATTCCTCAGATACTCTTAAACTTAATTAGTATTGGTCAGACATCATAAAATCAGGGAAGGTAGAAAAAAAATCTTTCCCCAAAATGTGGTGAGAACAGTGATTTACCTTAATAATAAGCCAATTTAATAATTTTAAATGGGTTGTGTAAATGAGAATATATATTAAACCATGTCACAAGGGTGGCAGCATAAATTCAGTTTTCTTTCATTTTAGAAATTCATACTCTTCAAATTACTTTAAGATTTTAATTAGTTCAAGGGAAATATTTTTCACATTAAAATATTTTATCTCTCAAAAAAATATTTTCTCTCTCTTTTTATTGCTAACCAAATGGGGAAGTGGTCTTGTTTATTTTAACCACATTGTTTTTAGCTTTGCTGAGGTATAATTGACAAAGATTGTACGTATTTAAGGTGTACAACTCGATGTTTTGAGATACACTGTGAAACAGTCACTATATGATTTATTCTTCAGGCGATGATGGTATTTCTACTTGCTTTTTCCTATTTTGTGACATAAAACATTACATGTACTTATACTCTTTGTACCATTTTAAAATGATTTTTATATGTGTGTTAACCTTGTCTAGTTCAACTGCAGGCTTCTTGAAGACAGGATTTTTGTCTTATCTGTCCCAGTTTATCCTTGTTTGTGTCCTGTCAGTAGACCTTCTTAAAGTCTCAGTGCCTGCTGTGTCGTAGGGTTTCAGTAAGTGTGTGATGAACAAATGAATAGTAATTTATATAATGAAGTAGATACTTTGGCAAATGCTAGATATACAAAGATGTGGTTCTTATAAGCATGGGAGAAGTAGATGGTCCGTTATTGGAACCAGATTAAATAAACAAACTACAGGATTATAATTGCCTTAATAGGGCAAATAGCAAATGACAAAGGTACATAGCAGAGTGAGTAACTCTACCCAAGGAGTGGAGTAGGTGAAGCAGCAACCAGTCTGACTTTAAAGGGGCAGGTGTGAGTTTTGTGACAAAGGCTAAGGTTTTCCAAAGGCTAGTGTGTTTAAAAAAAAAACCCAAAACCAAACAAGTGTAAATTGGTTTTGAAGAGGTTGAGAGTTTATATTCTAGGCAGTAATAAACCATTAAATGTTTTGATTTTGTTTTTGTTTTTTTTTAAAGCAAAAGAGTAGCACAGTTTGTGATTTGGAAGCATCTTTGCCATCAGGTTGGAAGGGATTACAGAGCATGCGATGGAGTGAGGGATACCAGGGATGAGGCTCTTGGAATAATCACATTAAAGGTGATAAAGGCCTAAGCTAGAGAATCGGTAATATAAAGGAGGGGGCGTTTGTGAGAGAGTCTTCAGAGTCAGAATTGAAGGCTTTGCAGTTCACTTAAGGGCGGTTAAGAAGTCATTACTGACTCACAGGTTTTTGGCCAGAATGGCTGACTGAACTGTTACTGCCATTAACCAAGATAGGGAGTAATATTGGGAAAAGAGTTTAATTTGGAACAGGTTGGTTGTGAAATTGGATGGAGCATCCATATTTCTTTGGAAATCAGGAAAGAAGTTGGGGAGATGAAATTACAAACCTGGATTCATCAGCAAATAGATGTTGAAGTAAAGGTAGTACATAAAATTACACAGGGAGAGCATGTAGACAGAGAAGAGGAGGTAGCTGAGGACAGGACACTAGGAAGCTTAAGTGAGTTGCACTGTAACGTATTAGATGGCTTGGTATGGGCTCAACATCAGGATAAACTGAGGCTGTAACGTCACCTTTTAATTTCTTCAGGTGAATGGTGAATAGTGAATACAAAAAGTACTATTTGAAAAATGTTTCATAAGATTTTCTTTGGCACTGACTAAAATAGATTCATAGGGAGAAAAAAATGAACTAAAATGTTTGGTTTTAATCTGTATTTCTATTTTAGATTGACTCTCTAAAAGATGCCTTTGCAAGTACTTCTGAAGGTGAGAAATTGAGCTAATCTACCAGTATTTGAGATGATTAAAATTTAGGGGTGGGAGATGTCCCGTAGAGTAAGTGAAGACTTACCCACTAAGAATAGAGCTGAGTTCTAATGCCACCACTACCACTGGTCTTGCTATGTGAACAAAGTAAGCTACCGTACCTCTTTTTTCCTAATTTTCTTACCTGGAAAATAGAGTTATGTCTGCCTTGTTTATGTCCCAGGATTATTGGGAGACAATATAAGTAAAAATGCAAAAATACATTGCTGAGCTCAGGGCAATATGGAAATGTGAGGAATGAATAATGTGAAGTTACTTCATAAGTTAGAAAAAATACTGACATTGTTTCTTGGCCTGATACAAGTGAGAGAAAGAAATGTGTAATTGTGGGAATATATGTAAGCTGTCATAGTTCTTACATTTCTGTGTATTGTAACATAATCCTTTCAGGACATACTGAATTAATTGTAGTTTTGCTGTTTTTTTCTCAGGTCACGATAAAACACCGGTTTCCACTCGTACTCGAGGTAGTCATCTGAAGCGACCAAAGATTGGGAAGCGGTTTCAGGATACTGAATTTAGTAGTTCTCAAGGAGAAGATGAAAAGACAGCGCAGACTTCACCTACAGCTTCAATAAACAAGTAAAGTATTGGTTATTTTACTGTCATTATTTCATTATTCTTATTTTCATATTTTTTAAAGGTTTTATTTGAGAGAGAGAGAGAGCACAAGCAGGAGGAGGGGCAGAGGCAGAGGGAGAGGGAGAAGCAGGCTCCCCACTGAGCAGGAACACCCCCAACCTCATGCAGTGCTCCAACCTAGGACCCTGGGATCATGACCTGAGCCAAAGTTAGATGCTTACCAACCCAGCCACCCATGTGCCCCTTATTTTCATATTATTAGTATTTAGTATTTAAGGTAGAAGTTATTATTATATTATTTGTGTAGCACATAACCTTGGTGTAAGACTTTGTATTTGAATTCTTGTACAGGATTGCTGATTGTACTCACTTTGATGTATTACAGGGAGAAGTTGCTAGTGAGAGAAATAAAATAAATCCACAATTCAATCTCTTATGTCTGAAAATCCAAGAGAATATTCTAGTAATTATATTATCCCAACTTTTATAGTAGCTATAGATTTTAGTACTGCTGAGGATTAGTCAGTTTTTTAAAAAACCCTAAGTTCTATTTTATAATGGATTCATTGTACTGGGTTACTGGATATAACACAAATTAGCGATAACCGTAAGCCCGTTTGGTCCCCTTCTCTAGGAACTTAATAGCCAGCTGAGACCAGAGAAAACTCAGATCAGAACTTTATCCTCTATCTTCCTTGGAACCTTAAAGAAAGCAAGACTTCATATTTTATAAAAAAAACTTGACTTTTTTGTCCTAATAGTCCTACCAGTTGTTCCTGAGTTAACCATTCATAGCTTTGGCATTTTATCTGTGAAATTATTTTCCTCAAGTAGAAAATTCTGTAGGTATGCTAATTTTATTATGTAAATAATCTAAAATTTGGATAATTGGGTAATTATGTAAATGTTTTAGTGATAAAGGCAAATATAACTATTTAAATCCAATAATTTGTGAAAAGAGGTTAATTAGTTTTCTTCCTGTGTAACATTTTGATGTAACATCCTTTTTATTTTATTTATTTATTTATTTATTTATTAAAAGATTTTATTTGTTTATTTGACAGACAGAAATCACAGATAAAGAGGCAGGCAGAGACGGGCAGGGGGAAGCAGGCTGCCCACTGAGTGGAGAGTGGGATGCGAGGCTCCATCTCAGGACCCTGGGATCATGACCTGAGCCGAAGGCAGAGGCCTTAACTCACCGAGCCACCCAGATGCCCTGTAATATCCTTTTTAGAAGGGAATGTAACAGTGCATTTTATATTGAACATCCCAAATTATTATGGAATTTTGTTTTTCCTAAGTAGAACAGTAACATAAGACTAAATGGTTGAATGCTTGCTCAGCTGTTATGAAGAACAAAATTTCATCTTTGTCCTTGAAGAATTTACTGTCCGGTTTCTAATTCATTAGCTATACCTGTGACATAGGTTAAGAAACTGCAAGGTATGGGGCGCCTGGGTGGCTCAGTGGGTTAAAGCCTCTGCCTTCGGCTCAGGTCATGATCTCCGGGTCCTGGGATGGAGCCCCGCATCGGGCTCTCTGCTCAGCAGGGAGCCTGCTTCCTCACCCTCCTCTGCCTGCCTCTCTGCCTACTTGTGATCTCTCTGTCAAATCAATAAATAAAATCTTAAAAAAGAAAGAAAGAAAGAAAGAAACTGTAAGGTAGATTGTAGTAACAGAAGTACAAAACAGTATAGATGCAGAGGAGAGATATGATTAAATGTGAGAGGATAGAGAGATTTGGCATTTGGACCAGGTCTTCAAAAACAAGTTGGAGAAGGTGTTCTAGTCCAGGGTTCCACAAATTATGGTCTGTAGCTCAAATCTGACCTACTGACTATTGTTGTAAATAAAACTTTGTTGTAACAGTTCCATGTTCATTAACTTACATGTTTGTATGGTTGCTTTTGTATTACAGTGGCAGAGTTGAATAGTTGTTTGGAGACCGTATCGCCCATAAAACCTAATGGAAAAGTTGGTTGACCCCTGCTGTATACCAGGGTTGTCCAGAGAACTTATTGTGATGATGAAAAAATGTACTTTATCTGCCCTGCCCAAAATGGCAGCCCTACTTTAGTATGCCCATTGAGCACTTCAAGTATGGCCAGTGCATGGAACTTAGGAACTGAATTTTAAATTTCATTTAATTTTGATTAATGTAAATCATGACATGTGTTGTGGCTACCATATTGTACCATGTAGATATAGCATGAGCAAAGACAAAAAGCTAAGAGTAATATTAATAAGGATAACTGATGTATGATGTAAATGTTACCATCTAGTAGGAAATAAAAATATGAGAGTCTAGGTCCAGGCCAGCTGGGCGTTGTAGCAGCATGAGTGACTCAGTGAAGTATTTAGCAATAGGATGAGCAAGAAGACCACCTTTGCCTGGTGGATGAGGCCTGGTAAGATAATTCATGCAGGGGAAGCAAGTAGCCATACTCTGAGCAGCCCTATGAGGAGGGACCATGTGGCAATAGTCCCCAAGGAATTGGGCCCTCAGTATGTTGGCCTGCATGATGAACTGAATGCTACCAGCAACCACATGAGTGGGGGGAGCTCAGGGTGGTTGCGGGGAGCACTGCCAGTCAGACTTTCAGATGAGACTGCATCCCCAGTTGCTGGGTTGATTGCGACTCCATGAGACCGTGAGACAGAGGTACTCAGCTAAGCCCCACCTGGATTCCTAACCCCCAGAAACAAGATAATAAATGTTCGATGATTTCAGAGGCTAATGTATAGATATATATGAGGCTTTGGTCATGTTAGCCTTTGTAAGGAAATACACTTTATTCTCTAAGCTGTAGAGAACCATCAGAGTTTTCTGAGCTGGACTGTCACAGGTATGGATGGATTATAATATAACAGCTCTTACAGCTTCACTAAAGAATGTATGTACTGCAAGTTCAGAGATGAGTTGGGACAAAATTAATGGTGGTCCAGGGAGGGCCTAAAGGAGGATCATGAAAATGGAAACAAAAAAGTAGGGATATGTTTGAAAGGCATTTGGGAAGTAGAACAAAACCGTATCATTTACTGTCCAAACTGGTATCTTTGAGACTGAAAGGGGCATTATTAGTGATTATGCCGATGCTGGGACAAAAGCTGTGAACTGGACTGTCTCAGGTAAATTGGGATGTGTTTTCTTTCTAATAGAATGAGAATCAGTGAGGTATGGTTAGAGTAAAAGAAGATTCTAGCTTACATGATTGTGGAGATTGTGGTGTTACTATTCAAACTAGAGAACAAGGTAGCAAAGAGGACAAGTTTGTAAGAAGAGGAGATTGGTTTTGGACCTTTAATATGGGAAGTTGTTCATTGAACGACACTTGGTTGATTGTCTAAAGTGTTACTGTATTAACAGACTCCTGAAATTTTATATTCATCCTTAAAACAAGTAAGAGTGGTTTTCTTTCCTAGATTGGAATCTACTGCGCGCACATCAGAGAGCTCAGAAGAATTCCTGGAAGAAGAACCTGAACAAAGTGTGATTGAATTTGAGGATGAAAGCAGTGATAAGGATGCCCGGCCTGCACCAGAAACCCAACCACGCCTGGAAAAGCAAGATGGTGAAAAGGTATGAGATCCTGCTTATTACTAAATTAAGTGAATTGAAAGTAAACTAAATTTAAACTTTCTTAATCATATATTGTTAGAAAAATGTGATCTATTTTAGAGTCCTAGTAGAAATTGTGCTTGATGCTAAAAAGCATAGCTCTATACTAAGCAAGGTCAGGTACTGGAGTTGGGGAGAGGATAAAGTTACAAGTATTGTTGTGTGTTTCACTGAGTTTTTTTTTTTTTTTTACTCTAATTGATGACTATATATATAGACTATATATGACTCTAATTGATAATTTGACTACAATTGATAACTGAATTCATTTTTTTTTAAACAGTGGAAAACAAATGGGAAAATCCTTTGTGACCAAGTAAATTCTTTTTTTTCCTGATTTCTGCAGCTCTTCTAGTACTTGTCCTTAACTTTTTTTTTTTTTTTTTCTTCTCTGTTCATTCCCTGTTCTTCTCCTCTTTATCTTTAATATCTTCCATCTTTGGCTCTGTAGAGATTTCTTATTTCTTCTTTCCTAGGTGCTTAAGATTCTTTAAGTCTTTTACCTGTTTGCCCAGTCTAGCCAGCATCCAAAGAAGTGTCACTATGTTACCAATTTTATTTCCTTAGCGTATTCCAGTTTAGCTCTTGCTTTCTCTGTTTCATGAAACTATATATATTTTTTTAAGATTTTATTTATTTATTTTTTTGAGAGAGATCACAAGTAGGCAGAGAGTCAGGCAGAGAGAGAGAGGGAAGGGAGCAGGCTGCCTGCTGAGCAGAGAGCCCGATGCAGGGCTCCATCCCAGGACCCTGGGATCATGACCTGAGCTGAAGGCAGAGGCATAACCCACTGAGCCACCCAGGTGCCCCCATGAAACTGTGTTTTTAAGTGGCATTTTTTTTCTTGTGAAAAATTTGGACAGTAAAGCACATGTTTAAAAATGTGCATCCAGACATTTGTGGGAATATATGTTATTTTTCTTGTAAAACCTTAAGATTATGCTGTATATACTTCATGTAATGGGTTTCATTTGTCCAGCTGTACGTTGAGCACATACTCTTATAGGTCACCAGTGACACTTGCATTCATTTCCAGCGGTTTTCCTCACCTAGATTGACTACTGTGTCTTCCTTAATATTCTCTAGGCCCCCATGAGGTAAGTTTTATAACACCACTCACTGTACTTTGGTTTCTTGGTTTTCCTACCTGAAGTTTTGTTTTGGTTTTATTATTTGACTCTTATGCTTTTTTCCCTTTATTTGTGGACATTCTAGAAGTCTAGAAGTCTAGAACTCCATTCTTGGCTTTCTGCTCTTGGTTCATGTTCTCTACATGAAAATGCATCCAATCTAATGGTTGAACTCTCATTTCTGTGGGACGACCAGCAACTCTAGACTTTGAATATTAATTGAGACTGTAATGCTATAATATTACTTATCTTTTGAATATTCTATGTAGACAGATGTCTTTTATCATCTTAAATTCAACATAATCTCTGTTCTTATCACTCCTATATTAGACCTTTTTGTGTGTGTGTGTGTGTGTGTGTGTGTGTGTGTGTGTGTGTGTGTGTGTTTAATCTTTCCTTCTATTCCCAAACCTAAAACTTGAAAGACAGGTTTTTCTCTTCTGTTGCTTCTCACTTTCAGTTAATTACCAGTATTCTGGGGTTTTTAAGCTTTTGCTGTGTTTTTCTCATTTTCTTCCTTTCAGCATTTTTTCTACCGTAGCTGATCCTTTTATGAGCTTTATTATAATTACCTTCTGTATGCAGTCTATTTTTTTATATTGTCTGGCCAGATAAATTTTTCTAATCCCTGATTTCAGTGTCCCTATGACTTTAGAGATCTTATGTAAACCAGACAAACCTATTTCTGAGCCCTTGAGTGCATCATTTTCTAATTTTTACAATGGTAATAAAATGCCCTCTATTAGAATGTCACTAAGATTCATTAGAACTATTAAACATTAAATATAAGTATTTTATATTGATAAACATTGGCAGAAGAGTTTCAGAATTGGAAGGTTTGTGTTACCTCCTCACTGATACTTCCGTATTTAATGTGATATAAAGAGTAGGATTGTTCAAAAAATGACCCAAAATTGACTGGACAATGAGGAAACTGAGACAGAGTTTTCTTCTTCCAGCAAGAAGCTGTATCCAAACTGAGCTTCCCACAAGACTGGTAGTGCTTCCTCCCTCTGGCAGCGTAACCTGTTAACTTCCCACAGGCCCCAGAGATTCCAAGTGCTCATCAGCCGGTGTTCTGTAAAGAGCTGGCATCAAATCTAGAGTCTCTGGTGCCTTTTTACTGAAAAGATTTCACTCCTGATGGCCCTGTAAAGAAGAACAAGAAGGGGACAGGGTGTCTTCACTGCATCTCAGACCTATCCTGTGTCTACAGAGCATCACGGTCTGCTGTCTCCATAAGAAAGAGGGAGTTTGGATTACTTGTGCCTTCTTCTCTTTTACTGACCCTGCCTGAAAAATTTAATCTTTTCTCAGTAAGACTGTTCCTTAACTCATGTCCTGCAATGTGGTAGACTTTATCTTGAGTCCTGGTGGAGACCAAGAATGGACTCACTTTTCATGACAAATAAATTAGCCTGTAATTGTGTCTTGACTTATTTTTCCCCCCAATGATGTAGGAATCTGAATTAGAGCCTATGAATGGTGAGATAATGGATGATACTCTTAAAACCTCACTTATAACTGAAGAGGAGGACTCCACTAGTGAAGTTTTAGATGAAGAAATAAAATTGCAGTCTCTTAATTCCAGCGAAGACTCTACTGCTCTTGTTCCACTGGTGGTAGAATCTTCAAAACCCCCTGATACTGTTGCACAGGATAAGGTAAGAAGGGAAATAATTTAATTTTTTATAGTCAGACTGTTCCAGTGTTGGTTACATGGAAGAGGCATAATAATATATATATTTTTCTCTGCCTTATATATAGTCTTTCAGGAAAATAAATTCTGTATTAATTTTTATGCTAGATTAGGTATTTTAAGAAAATACAGTCAGTAATATTCCACAAATTCACATCTTTGTAACCTTAAAATACATACCTGACTTCTGCTAACAAAACAAATTTTATTTTGTAGATTTAGAGAAATGCTTAGGCAAATAGATAAAGCATTATTTACCAAATACTTGAATACCTATTGCTCACATAGTCCATGACGAATAGTCATTTTAATTTGTTTTAAACGGAGACAGATTAGATTAGTGGGAAAAACCTAATAGACTTTTTTTTTTTTTTTAAGATTTTTGTTTATTTGACAGACAGATCACAAGTAGGCAGAGAGGCAGGCAGAGAGAGAGAGGAGGTGGAGGCAGGCTCCCTGCTGAGCAGAGAGCCCGACATGAGGCTCGATCCCATGACCCTGGGATCGTGACCCGAGCCGAAGGCAGAGGCTTTAACCACTGAGCCACCCAGGCGCCCCACCTAATAGACTATTTTTAAAGAAACTTCATTTTTACTTTCAGATATTCCAATTTAAGGCTAAAAAACTATTGTATAGCATTAATTTATTAGTGTCGCAAATAAATAAATGAATAAAATCTCCATTGCCCTTCCCTGTCATCTAATGAAACTGTAGTCAAACTTCGTGTGGTGGCACAGTGTCAAGCCCCAGAGGACTCTTGGTTCTGGCTCCAGTAATATCAAGAAACTAAAAACTTTTAGTTGATTCATGGTTTAAAGAACTTTGATAAGATGTTTGAAATGTTCTAATACTTTTTGAGGTAAAAGAATTACTTTTATTATATCTTTAAAGCAAGAACCAGGTTATCATGTGACAGTTTTGAAATAATAGACTTGTATTCAGAATATGTACACCTGATGAATGAAAGTAATGAGTCCTGAATTCTTGAAAATGCAGTTCATTATCATTGCATATTAGTGTGTAATTTATATAAGAGCTACACTGCAAAATTTTGCTCACTGAGTTTTTTATTTTTAGATCTCGCATATAACTGACACAGAAATGTTGCTGGACGAAGGCCCATCTGATGAAAAGGGACACACTGAAGAGAAACTGCCCCTAGTTTCAAGAAAGAAAGCGCATTTTGGAAGTTCAGACAATGTAGCTACCATCCCAAATGAAGAACGATCCGACAGTGGTTTTCCAAACTCTGTGATAGCTGAATTTTCTGAGGAATCAATCTCTGAAAATTTATCACCCAACACTACTTCTTCATTGGAAGACCAGGGTGACGAAGGGGTGCCTGAGCCCCAGGAAACGTCTACAGCTCTTTCTCAGAGCTCTTTGATAGAGGTTGAACTTGAAGATGTGCCATTTTCACAGAATGCAGGACAGAAAAACCAGTCAGAGGAGCAGTCCGAAGCGTCTTCTGAGCAGCTGGATCAGTTTGCGCAGTCAGCAGAAAAAACTGTGGATAGCAGCTCAGAGGAAATAGAAGTGGAAGTGCCTGTGGTAGACAGGCGGAATTTAAGAAGAAAGGCCAAAGGGCATAAAGGACCTGCGAAGAAGAAAGCCAAGCTGACATGAATGAAGAAGATATGCAGATGATAAACCCTCTTCTTTGTAATGTAATTGTTGTTTTTAAAATATGGTAATTAATAAATGGCATGGGGCACAGGGCAAAAATTCCAAAATTTCACTTTGAACTTATTTATGATGCCGGTTTTCCGTCCCCCTTAGGACCTAGAATTCACCCTTCTTTTTGATTTTTCAGGCTATTTTGTGTAAATACAATTTTTTTATTTTTATTAACCATGTTTCAACTTTGGGAAACCAGATCATACTATATTTTCTTTAGCAATTGGGGATGTCTGACCATTAATATTTCAGAAAATATAAATTACAGTGAAAGTAGTAGGCTTTACATTACTTGTAAGGATCACAGAAATCTTTTATACTATGGATTTTAATAGTAAACTTGGTGAGGGTTCTAGTAGTTTTATCTTAATAATCAAAACTAATCATTTTTTTAAAATGTAGGCATGTCTAAACAAAAATGTCAGTAAATGAAAACATACTTCAACTAAATGAGAGCACAAATAGAAATTTATGGTGAAAGGTTTGTGAAGGTGGTATTTTGGCCTCTTAATTCTTAGTTGTGTAGGTGCAGTTTCTTCCTTTGACTTCAGTGTCTGAGGAAAGGTATAAAATCTGTTTCCACCTCAGTTTTTATGGCATCCAATATATACAGTACTGCTAGGGATTTAACTCTGGCATGTAGACACTAATATAATTATATAAAATATTATTTGAAGCTGGGGACTATTACTTTTGTCCTCATTCAATTAGCATATATACTTCAGAAATGTGAGGGCCCTTCTGAGGCTTCTCCTTAACCCTGCCACTGCCTTTATTCTAGAATCGTATATTCTCCTCAGCTTTCATCCACTTCCCTAACTTAGAGTGATTCCTGCCAAAAGATCTGCCTGCCTGTCTGCCAGCTTATGCCCTTGGCATCCATATCTGGGTAAGTTTGGACTGTGCCCCACAATCTTAGATCTAGACGGCAGGAATGGATCTGCCCAAGGAGCTATAGCTAAAAGAGCTTAGATGGAATTGGAGGCTTTGGTTGTTGCTCTGGTCTTGCTCACTCTTAATTTGTTTGAGTACAGGTTACAAACTAGCCTGAGTGTATACATTGTGGTACTACAGCAAAGCCTTTGCGTAGGAGAACTTAAAAAACAAATCCTCCTGTTAATTTTTATATAGTAATTTATTTAAAAATGAACAAAATTGTTATTCTTGGAATCCAAAGAGAATCTTAAAACACTCTTATTACTCTTTGGAAGTACTGTGTGTACTCAGATTTGCAGTTAATTTGGAGAATGTTTTGAGACCATTTAGATTGTTTTTAAAACAGCTTGGTCCTGTGTGAAAAAACCATGTTATGATGTCATGTCATTATTTGAGGTACTAAGGATTGATGTCAGAGGTTTATCCAGTTTACAGTCCGGTGATACCATTAAATTTTATTTTGGAATGTTGACATTTTAGGTCTAATAAGCTAAGTTAAAATGTTTAAGGAGGCAAAACAGCAAGCCCTCCTGTTCATGTAAAATTTTGAGTTATCCTCTACATTTTCCTTAATTATTGGTCAGAGCAAGCCAAATGATTGCACTCCAAATGAAAATTAAAGCACTTTGGCCATTTGTTTTCTCAACAAATGCTGACTAATTGAAAAAATAAGTATGACTGGTACTAGTACATCTATCACATTTATGCTGTTTTATAGATTTTGTGAGAAATTTTACTACCACAATTAGGAAAATAAAGATTCGAGGATTTAGTAAATTCTTAACCTTTCCATTTTTAATTTCGTAAAATAGACTTAAAAACCTAACACTTAGATATTTTACTTTTTTACTTGGATTGCTCATTGTTCTTTTGAGAATAGTTTCTTTAAAAGGGGGTAGTTTAAGATTGAGCTCACTGACAACTCTTGATATGTGAATATAGTTGCTGAGTTCACAAAAACATGTTTAGTTATTGATATATAATGGGACTAACAGTATAAACTCATACTTGTTAAACTTGTTTGGTTTATTAAACAGCAAGAGCATTTTAAGCAGTTTCAGAACTTTTTGCTTAGCATACAAGAAAACTTTTATGATAATGCTTTTGGGGGGTTTACAGATGGTAGAGAAGGCTAGATAACATAGAAAAACCTAACTTTCATGTTCAGTAACACGTTCACGGTTCAGTAAGTGAGTTCTGTACTCAATGAGTATAGAATTTATAACAAAATTTATCCTCAGTAAGGAATCTAAATAAAACTAATCAGATACTTAGTTTTTTGCAAGGCATTAGAAAAACTTGAGAATTATAGAGGACTGAAATCTGATTTCAGCCAGCTAGTCTAGTTGTTGTCTAGTCACATTCTAGTCCTTTGTGAACTGCTTTTTTCTGTTCAGAAGTTTTATTTCTGGAAAAGGATTTCACTTCAGTTTGTGTAAATACGTGTATATTTCCTTGTGTAATATAAAACATAGATATTAGAATTTTAGTTCTACTTTCAAGCTTAAATTATCCAATTGCTAGACATCACAGAAATATATTTAAGAATTTATTATAAAGCTCCTCTACAACTTTTAAAAGTGAGAGGATCTATTATGATTTTTTATAAAATCAAATAGCATGACAGAATGTCTTCTACTTAAAATGTCTATATTCAGTGGTGTTTCCATTCACTGCGGAGAATAAATACGGCAAGGATAACACTTAATAGTGATTAATGGTTCACTTTTAGCTGACCAGAACACTACCTAAAATTGTTTCAGTGACTTTAGAAAATATCTTGAAGGTTTATGATTACATCAAATTGAATCTTTTATCTAGTATCTAAATATCTGCTCTTATGTACTGCTTCACCCTTAGGGATTACCTTCTAAGGTTTGGTCACACCAGCAAACTGATACAGATCTTAATGTAAATACAGAATTTATACTAACATTACTCATCTGTGTAACAGCATTTTAGAAATTTCTGCCTTGTATGTCCACTAGTAGCTAATCTGGTGTTTAAAGTGTTACTGGTCTTTCATGGATGTGATTAGTTACAAATGTTATGCTTCTGTTGGCATACTTAATATAAAGCTGTGTGTGTGTGTGTGTGTGTGTGTGTGTGTGTGTGTGTGTGTGTGTGTTTAATCTTTCCTTCTATTCCCAAACCTAAAACTTGAAAGACAGGTTTTTCTCTTCTGTTGCTTCTCACTTTCAGTTAATTACCAGTATTCTGGGGTTTTTAAGCTTTTGCTGTGTTTTTCTCATTTTCTTCCTTTCAGCATTTTTTCTACCGTAGCTGATCCTTTTATGAGCTTTATTATAATTACCTTCTGTATGCAGTCTATTTTTTTATATTGTCTGGCCAGATAAATTTTTCTAATCCCTGATTTCAGTGTCCCTATGACTTTAGAGATCTTATGTAAACCAGACAAACCTATTTCTGAGCCCTTGAGTGCATCATTTTCTAATTTTTACAATGGTAATAAAATGCCCTCTATTAGAATGTCACTAAGATTCATTAGAACTATTAAACATTAAATATAAGTATTTTATATTGATAAACATTGGCAGAAGAGTTTCAGAATTGGAAGGTTTGTGTTACCTCCTCACTGATACTTCCGTATTTAATGTGATATAAAGAGTAGGATTGTTCAAAAAATGACCCAAAATTGACTGGACAATGAGGAAACTGAGACAGAGTTTTCTTCTTCCAGCAAGAAGCTGTATCCAAACTGAGCTTCCCACAAGACTGGTAGTGCTTCCTCCCTCTGGCAGCGTAACCTGTTAACTTCCCACAGGCCCCAGAGATTCCAAGTGCTCATCAGCCGGTGTTCTGTAAAGAGCTGGCATCAAATCTAGAGTCTCTGGTGCCTTTTTACTGAAAAGATTTCACTCCTGATGGCCCTGTAAAGAAGAACAAGAAGGGGACAGGGTGTCTTCACTGCATCTCAGACCTATCCTGTGTCTACAGAGCATCACGGTCTGCTGTCTCCATAAGAAAGAGGGAGTTTGGATTACTTGTGCCTTCTTCTCTTTTACTGACCCTGCCTGAAAAATTTAATCTTTTCTCAGTAAGACTGTTCCTTAACTCATGTCCTGCAATGTGGTAGACTTTATCTTGAGTCCTGGTGGAGACCAAGAATGGACTCACTTTTCATGACAAATAAATTAGCCTGTAATTGTGTCTTGACTTATTTTTCCCCCCAATGATGTAGGAATCTGAATTAGAGCCTATGAATGGTGAGATAATGGATGATACTCTTAAAACCTCACTTATAACTGAAGAGGAGGACTCCACTAGTGAAGTTTTAGATGAAGAAATAAAATTGCAGTCTCTTAATTCCAGCGAAGACTCTACTGCTCTTGTTCCACTGGTGGTAGAATCTTCAAAACCCCCTGATACTGTTGCACAGGATAAGGTAAGAAGGGAAATAATTTAATTTTTTATAGTCAGACTGTTCCAGTGTTGGTTACATGGAAGAGGCATAATAATATATATATTTTTCTCTGCCTTATATATAGTCTTTCAGGAAAATAAATTCTGTATTAATTTTTATGCTAGATTAGGTATTTTAAGAAAATACAGTCAGTAATATTCCACAAATTCACATCTTTGTAACCTTAAAATACATACCTGACTTCTGCTAACAAAACAAATTTTATTTTGTAGATTTAGAGAAATGCTTAGGCAAATAGATAAAGCATTATTTACCAAATACTTGAATACCTATTGCTCACATAGTCCATGACGAATAGTCATTTTAATTTGTTTTAAACGGAGACAGATTAGATTAGTGGGAAAAACCTAATAGACTTTTTTTTTTTTTTAAGATTTTTGTTTATTTGACAGACAGATCACAAGTAGGCAGAGAGGCAGGCAGAGAGAGAGAGGAGGTGGAGGCAGGCTCCCTGCTGAGCAGAGAGCCCGACATGAGGCTCGATCCCATGACCCTGGGATCGTGACCCGAGCCGAAGGCAGAGGCTTTAACCACTGAGCCACCCAGGCGCCCCACCTAATAGACTATTTTTAAAGAAACTTCATTTTTACTTTCAGATATTCCAATTTAAGGCTAAAAAACTATTGTATAGCATTAATTTATTAGTGTCGCAAATAAATAAATGAATAAAATCTCCATTGCCCTTCCCTGTCATCTAATGAAACTGTAGTCAAACTTCGTGTGGTGGCACAGTGTCAAGCCCCAGAGGACTCTTGGTTCTGGCTCCAGTAATATCAAGAAACTAAAAACTTTTAGTTGATTCATGGTTTAAAGAACTTTGATAAGATGTTTGAAATGTTCTAATACTTTTTGAGGTAAAAGAATTACTTTTATTATATCTTTAAAGCAAGAACCATGTTATCATGTGACAGTTTTGAAATAATAGACTTGTATTCAGAATATGTACACCTGATGAATGAAAGTAATGAGTCCTGAATTCTTGAAAATGCAGTTCATTATCATTGCATATTAGTGTGTAATTTATATAAGAGCTACACTGCAAAATTTTGCTCACTGAGTTTTTTATTTTTAGATCTCGCATATAACTGACACAGAAATGTTGCTGGACGAAGGCCCATCTGATGAAAAGGGACACACTGAAGAGAAACTGCCCCTAGTTTCAAGAAAGAAAGCGCATTTTGGAAGTTCAGACAATGTAGCTACCATCCCAAATGAAGAACGATCCGACAGTGGTTTTCCAAACTCTGTGATAGCTGAATTTTCTGAGGAATCAATCTCTGAAAATTTATCACCCAACACTACTTCTTCATTGGAAGACCAGGGTGACGAAGGGGTGCCTGAGCCCCAGGAAACGTCTACAGCTCTTTCTCAGAGCTCTTTGATAGAGGTTGAACTTGAAGATGTGCCATTTTCACAGAATGCAGGACAGAAAAACCAGTCAGAGGAGCAGTCCGAAGCGTCTTCTGAGCAGCTGGATCAGTTTGCGCAGTCAGCAGAAAAAACTGTGGATAGCAGCTCAGAGGAAATAGAAGTGGAAGTGCCTGTGGTAGACAGGCGGAATTTAAGAAGAAAGGCCAAAGGGCATAAAGGACCTGCGAAGAAGAAAGCCAAGCTGACATGAATGAAGAAGATATGCAGATGATAAACCCTCTTCTTTGTAATGTAATTGTTGTTTTTAAAATATGGTAATTAATAAATGGCATGGGGCACAGGGCAAAAATTCCAAAATTTCACTTTGAACTTATTTATGATGCCGGTTTTCCGTCCCCCTTAGGACCTAGAATTCACCCTTCTTTTTGATTTTTCAGGCTATTTTGTGTAAATACAATTTTTTTATTTTTATTAACCATGTTTCAACTTTGGGAAACCAGATCATACTATATTTTCTTTAGCAATTGGGGATGTCTGACCATTAATATTTCAGAAAATATAAATTACAGTGAAAGTAGTAGGCTTTACATTACTTGTAAGGATCACAGAAATCTTTTATACTATGGATTTTAATAGTAAACTTGGTGAGGGTTCTAGTAGTTTTATCTTAATAATCAAAACTAATCATTTTTTTAAAATGTAGGCATGTCTAAACAAAAATGTCAGTAAATGAAAACATACTTCAACTAAATGAGAGCACAAATAGAAATTTATGGTGAAAGGTTTGTGAAGGTGGTATTTTGGCCTCTTAATTCTTAGTTGTGTAGGTGCAGTTTCTTCCTTTGACTTCAGTGTCTGAGGAAAGGTATAAAATCTGTTTCCACCTCAGTTTTTATGGCATCCAATATATACAGTACTGCTAGGGATTTAACTCTGGCATGTAGACACTAATATAATTATATAAAATATTATTTGAAGCTGGGGACTATTACTTTTGTCCTCATTCAATTAGCATATATACTTCAGAAATGTGAGGGCCCTTCTGAGGCTTCTCCTTAACCCTGCCACTGCCTTTATTCTAGAATCGTATATTCTCCTCAGCTTTCATCCACTTCCCTAACTTAGAGTGATTCCTGCCAAAAGATCTGCCTGCCTGTCTGCCAGCTTATGCCCTTGGCATCCATATCTGGGTAAGTTTGGACTGTGCCCCACAATCTTAGATCTAGACGGCAGGAATGGATCTGCCCAAGGAGCTATAGCTAAAAGAGCTTAGATGGAATTGGAGGCTTTGGTTGTTGCTCTGGTCTTGCTCACTCTTAATTTGTTTGAGTACAGGTTACAAACTAGCCTGAGTGTATACATTGTGGTACTACAGCAAAGCCTTTGCGTAGGAGAACTTAAAAAACAAATCCTCCTGTTAATTTTTATATAGTAATTTATTTAAAAATGAACAAAATTGTTATTCTTGGAATCCAAAGAGAATCTTAAAACACTCTTATTACTCTTTGGAAGTACTGTGTGTACTCAGATTTGCAGTTAATTTGGAGAATGTTTTGAGACCATTTAGATTGTTTTTAAAACAGCTTGGTCCTGTGTGAAAAAACCATGTTATGATGTCATGTCATTATTTGAGGTACTAAGGATTGATGTCAGAGGTTTATCCAGTTTACAGTCCGGTGATACCATTAAATTTTATTTTGGAATGTTGACATTTTAGGTCTAATAAGCTAAGTTAAAATGTTTAAGGAGGCAAAACAGCAAGCCCTCCTGTTCATGTAAAATTTTGAGTTATCCTCTACATTTTCCTTAATTATTGGTCAGAGCAAGCCAAATGATTGCACTCCAAATGAAAATTAAAGCACTTTGGCCATTTGTTTTCTCAACAAATGCTGACTAATTGAAAAAATAAGTATGACTGGTACTAGTACATCTATCACATTTATGCTGTTTTATAGATTTTGTGAGAAATTTTACTACCACAATTAGGAAAATAAAGATTCGAGGATTTAGTAAATTCTTAACCTTTCCATTTTTAATTTCGTAAAATAGACTTAAAAACCTAACACTTAGATATTTTACTTTTTTACTTGGATTGCTCATTGTTCTTTTGAGAATAGTTTCTTTAAAAGGGGGTAGTTTAAGATTGAGCTCACTGACAACTCTTGATATGTGAATATAGTTGCTGAGTTCACAAAAACATGTTTAGTTATTGATATATAATGGGACTAACAGTATAAACTCATACTTGTTAAACTTGTTTGGTTTATTAAACAGCAAGAGCATTTTAAGCAGTTTCAGAACTTTTTGCTTAGCATACAAGAAAACTTTTATGATAATGCTTTTGGGGGGTTTACAGATGGTAGAGAAGGCTAGATAACATAGAAAAACCTAACTTTCATGTTCAGTAACACGTTCACGGTTCAGTAAGTGAGTTCTGTACTCAATGAGTATAGAATTTATAACAAAATTTATCCTCAGTAAGGAATCTAAATAAAACTAATCAGATACTTAGTTTTTTGCAAGGCATTAGAAAAACTTGAGAATTATAGAGGACTGAAATCTGATTTCAGCCAGCTAGTCTAGTTGTTGTCTAGTCACATTCTAGTCCTTTGTGAACTGCTTTTTTCTGTTCAGAAGTTTTATTTCTGGAAAAGGATTTCACTTCAGTTTGTGTAAATACGTGTATATTTCCTTGTGTAATATAAAACATAGATATTAGAATTTTAGTTCTACTTTCAAGCTTAAATTATCCAATTGCTAGACATCACAGAAATATATTTAAGAATTTATTATAAAGCTCCTCTACAACTTTTAAAAGTGAGAGGATCTATTATGATTTTTTATAAAATCAAATAGCATGACAGAATGTCTTCTACTTAAAATGTCTATATTCAGTGGTGTTTCCATTCACTGCGGAGAATAAATACGGCAAGGATAACACTTAATAGTGATTAATGGTTCACTTTTAGCTGACCAGAACACTACCTAAAATTGTTTCAGTGACTTTAGAAAATATCTTGAAGGTTTATGATTACATCAAATTGAATCTTTTATCTAGTATCTAAATATCTGCTCTTATGTACTGCTTCACCCTTAGGGATTACCTTCTAAGGTTTGGTCACACCAGCAAACTGATACAGATCTTAATGTAAATACAGAATTTATACTAACATTACTCATCTGTGTAACAGCATTTTAGAAATTTCTGCCTTGTATGTCCACTAGTAGCTAATCTGGTGTTTAAAGTGTTACTGGTCTTTCATGGATGTGATTAGTTACAAATGTTATGCTTCTGTTGGCATACTTAATATAAAGCTTTCTTTGTATAAGACAATTAATTTGCTTATTTTGGGTTCTAAAAAATAAGCAGAGTGAGTTCTGTGGGATTATGCTTACCTTTACCTTTAGTCTGTTTTGTTTTTTCACCTTCCAAATCTTATTCACACATTCCTCATTTCTATTAGTGGCAAAATCCGTTGTTAAAATTGTAAGAAAGGTTCAGCTTCTTTCATCCTGAAATAATTGTATCACACTGGATAGTCATTCCCAAGGAACTAACTTTGCTTTTAAGTGTGTGTGTTCTAAAACTTCTATGTTTATAGAATTTAGAAAAGATGTTATGTTATTCAGAACAGCAAGTGTTATTGAGATACTCAAGTTTGTTTTCTTGGTTTTTTTTTTTGTTTTTTAGTTTAAAAGTAGTCCGTTTTGTGATTGTTTCTTGGCCTGTGTTTTGATATTCTTTCCCTTTTCCCTACTTTAATTGACAGTGATGTGTTTAGATATTGAATTTGTTTAGACATTAAATGATTTTGTTAAAGACACAATCACATTGGTTGTACTTTGAAGACAGACTTTAAAAATAAACAATTTAAAACCATTAATGTGATCATAGATTAATGTAATATTATGGACAACTTAAAGCTCAAAGCTACAAACATAATTCAGATCACAAAAGTGCTTTGACCAAGTTAAAAACCTAAAAGATTACCTTTTTTATATTATCCAGGTAACTGCAAACAAATTTCTCTTAAAGGCATCAGTGCAGTCTTTTCTCTTTAAACAATTCTACCTGGAATCACTTAAATTTTTAATCATTCTAAAAATGGGAAAGCATAAACATTTTGGTGCATTTTTTTCCTATATATTTGGCGGAAAAATACAGTTCGAAGTATTACTATACATGATTGAGAGGAAGAAAATGTTTAAAATATGAATTCACCAACTTACGGTGTGAAGACAGGTAAAAAGTTACCTAAATCCTTCTGAACTCCATTTAGTGTAGTGTGCCTTTTCTCTCCTGTACTTCTAGTAGAGTATACTTTATAAACAAATGTACCAAGTGTTAATGCTGCATTTCTTAGGATTAATGAAAATGGGGTGAAAGAAACTTGAAGGTCTCAGAAATGACCGTTCTGTAGTTTAGGGTCTATATTTAAGTGTGCACGAACCTTTATAATAAAAGCTATTTTCAACTACACTGGTTTTTCCAGTAACAATAGGTCTGCATTGCTGAGTATCCACTACTTAATGCAGATATGGACCAAGATATTTCTATAATTGCTTTTTAAAATTATTCAAATTTATGAACATCCAAATGCTAAAAAGACAAATATAAAGACCATTTATTTTAATAAATGTCTATTTTAATGTTTTTCACAATAGAATAAATGCTTCTCTTGATGACTGCAGATACGTAAGGCTGTTTGGTAGTATTCAGAACCACCACAGGAATGGTTGTCTTCCTGATTGGTGTGTAGTCTTCAGTAATTATAAGGAATTACTTGTCTGGAACTGCTGTCAAACCAGCAGGACTGCATTTATGCATCCATCATTTTCAGGATTGTTGGTAACCTGGGCATATTTTCCTGAGGAAAAAATGGGAAAAGGAGGGATATTAATGCTGATAAAAATTAACTTTGCCCAAAATATTCTTTTTTTTTTTTTTTTTAAGATTTTATTTATTTGACAGACAGAGATCACAAGTAGGCAGAGAGGCAGACAGAGAGAGAGGAAGGGAAGCAGGCTCCCTGCTGAGCAGAGAGCCCGATGTGGGGCTCGATCCCAGGACCCTGAGATCATGACCTGAGCCGAAGGCAGAGGCTTTAACCCACTGAGCCACCCAGGCGACCCTGCCCAAAATATTCTTAATCACCACTTTGAAGAATGAAAAAAAATTCTAGTAGGATCAATGAGATTTTTACAAATCACTCAAAATCAAATGAGTTCTGAAAACAATTCTTATATACTGTTTTTATATTTTTTTACAAGTGGTGTTCAGTTCCATTCTGTTAGTAAGTTGTATTAACA